AATTTCCTTCACTTCCACTGTCTTTCCAGATTGTCATATCAGCTGGCAAGCTCCTGTGAATTCTTTCAGGGATTAACACAACATTAATTTCCCTGGAAAATCAAGGAACCTTCTCAATCACCTGAAATTAGTTCACTGTGCTTTACACCACACTGTAACTTGTACCCTTTGTGGTATTAAAATTTATTTATCCCATTATCTTGATTCAAAACTTGGAGAGTCTTGCCAGGTGTGGCATGGCTGACCTATAATCCCAGCACTCTGAAAGGATGAGACAAAAGGATTGCAAATTTGAGCTCAAACTGGGCAATTTAGCAAGACCTTGTCTCAAAAGAAAAGGGGTGGGACAAGGAGGAGGGGCTTCTGGGAGGGTAGCTCAGTACAAAGGCCCTGGATTCGATTACCAGTGCAACCACACACACACACACACACACACACCTCTCTTCAAGGGAGCAAAAGAATATAGTAGTAATATCTCTGGGATTTTAGTAATACACATAACTTATACAGCAACACCCACTAAGTAAATATCCAGTGACTGTGTGATTATTTTACCTGGATAACACACCACAGAGATGCTTTTGGGATCATAGGGCAGTGTTTGGTTATAATGACCTTTAAAACTTTGGTGCTATGAAAGAATTTTTTTATACCTGTTCAATTTTTAATTTTAAATAATTTTTTTAAAAAATCTACTTTAATACCACTACCTTTTTGTGTTCCCAACCTAAAATTTCATTATTTTATTCTGTCAAAACTAAAAACACCAAAATAGCCTCTGTTTTGTTTAGTTTCTTCATGGCTCCTTTTGCAAAAATTATTTTGGACAGCATATCTATTCATAGAACATTGGGGAGACTGAAATATGTAGCATGGCAAATCTCACATTCTTTTTGCTTTAGATAATTTGATTTTTCTCTCAACATTTCCATTTCCTGTCTTTTTAAATTGGTTATTTTATGTTAGTTTCTGAGAGGATGCCATTTGGTTTGCCTTGCTGTACACATCTATGAAAATGTATTAAAGTAGAACTTGGAAACTATAAAGCATTACTCAGATGGGATGGATTGTCTTCATAATTTTTATTGTCACTTTACACTCTGATTGCAGAATATTCACAATTTTCATAATAGGAATAACTTCACTGGGTATTTCCCTTTTTCATCTTTTTTTTTTTTTGGTACCGAGGAGGATCGAACTCGGATCCTTGCGCTTGTACAGCAAGTGGCGAAACCACTGAGCTAAATCCCCAGCCCTAAATTTAGAACTTATTTTTTTTTTTTTGGTACTGGAGATCAAACTCCGGTCCTTGTGCTTGCGAGGCAGGCAGTGGAACCACTGAGCTGAATCCCCAGCCCTCCCTTTTTATAACAGTTGTCAGAATTCAAAACTCTTAAAATGGTTGGTATAATTTTTAGTGTGATCCGTAAAACACATCTTTCATGTTGCTTAGTAATTTAAAAGTTTAGTACTTTAGACCAAAGGAAAGCACCTCTTTTAAAGATGAATGTGTTTCTACTAGTATTAGTACTTTACATATGAACTATCATTAATTAAAGTAATAAATAGAAGCCATTGAGGAATCAGTGAGACAAACATTTTAAAAGATTTGACTTTGAAATATATGAAAGTGTTAATAAATACCTGGAAACTGTAAATTTTAAACTATGGCAATAACCAACTTGATTTCACATACTGCTTGTATGCTTGGTATGTGTTGGATTTGGGTAAAATTTATTTTAGAATGGCTAAAAATTCTAGGGAAAACCATTTTTCAGAATGTGCCTTTAGGAATTAAATTCTACATTTCATCATGAATCAGTAGGAGTATTTTTTCTTTGTTTTCAGGTCAGCTTTAAAGTAATGGGCTTATATAGCTTCTAACATCTCCACCAGAAAAGAACTGTTCTGTGAGAAACCTGTCATCCTTAAATATGACAAATTTGTCTTCTAATGTGCACCAACAAACTTGAATTATAGTCTTAAAAAGCTGTCCTCCAGTGAACTCATTTAGCACAAAATGAGTCTTCAGAACCTAATCATCTAGGCTGTGCTAGAGATTTGACTTCACCAAGGAGTCCACTTTTCCAGGAACCACACCATTCTCATATACCTCTTATAACGTGATACTGAATATACCCTGACACTTTCTTATTAGGTATTCTTTGAAGAGAGAAATTCTTTGCTTGTTCCATTTCTAGCATTTCAACACTTTCTTATTACATGCAGTGAGTTGCTTTATTCTCTGCGGGACATTAGTTCACAATGTTTAATAACTTAAGATTCATACCATCAACTTGGAGTTTATTCTTGATAGTTTTAATGAAACCACCAGCTGCCACTATCCTTAGTGATAGGAAATGCTTCACTTTGGAAGCTGTCAGCCCTCTGTATTAATCAGCTTTCCTGCCACTGGCACAGAATACCTGATATCTACAACTTAAAAGGAGGACAGATTTATTTTGGCTCATAGATTCAGTGGTTTTCCTCCATGGCCATCCAGCTCTAAGACAGAAAAGGCATTGTGAAAATGCCTGGCAGAGAAAAGCTACTCTGAGCTTTGTCTGCTTCATGGCAGCCAGGAAACAGAGAAAGAAGGGAGGAACCAGGGATAGGACTATACCCTTCCAAGTCAGGTCCTCCATGACCCACCTCTTCCAAATAGGCCCCACCTCCAAAGATGAGACTTTCAGGGGATATTTTGCATCTAAACTATAACATTCTATCCCCTAAAAAGGCTCATGTTCATCTCATTATGCAAAATGCATTTAGTCCATCTCTGAATTACCAAAGTCTCAATAGTTAGCATTGCTGAAAAGTCCAATTCTAAAGTCCCCTCTGAGACTCAAGGCATACTCTTAGCTGTGAGCCCCTATAAAAATTAAAAAGAAAGCAAAAACACTTTCACTATACAGTCTTATAGGGTTAACATTCCTATCCCAGAAGAGTGGAATAGGGAAATAGAAAAAAAAAAAATCAGACCAAAGCAAGACAGTAACCAGCGGGGGAAACATTAAATCATGTAGCTACATATCCAGCATCCTGGGCAGGTTGTGGTGAGATGTCAGCTCCAAAGGGCTTGGCCAACCCTGTCCATATAACATTGCCAGTCTCAGCCCAGATGGCTTCTCTCTTGGACTCCCTGTGCTTATTGCCTGTGACTTCCTCAGCAGACAATCCATATTTCTGCCATCTCCAGTGTCCTTAAATATCCACTGCAGCTATGGCTTCACTTTCACAGCTTCACACGCTGCCCTCTTAAGGGCACACTCCCTGGTCTCCCCAGCCTTCTTGTGAAATCTAGGTGAAAGCCTCTATGACCCCAGAACTCTTTTATTCTTCGTGCCTGGAAAACCATCACCATGAAAATGACACCAGCATCTGCTGCCACTGAAAGCAGAAGCTGGGTGTCCTTGGACCATGACTTCAGAGGCCCTTGAGTGCCTAGATGACTGAACTCCAGGAACTATTTCCCTAGGCAACCCTAAATGAGCTGGACTTCCTGGGGCTCTCTTGCAAAAGTAATGTCTTTTAAAGTTGTTTGCCCTTTTATATCCTTGAATCTGCCAAGAGTGGGGTCTGGCCAATTCCTGAAATCCTTCAAGCCATCTTCCCTATTGTCCTGATATAATGTACTTGGCTTCTTTTTAATGTTAATACTTTCTGCAACCATGGTCTACTTTGCCCCAACTTTGCAGGCACTTCATTTCTGAAAGACTGGAAACTTTTTGTTTTGGCACTCCCTTTTGCTCATGATTTTCACTGTAAATCTAGCTAAAAGAAGCCAGCAGTACGTATGCCATAGCCAGAATGTTGGGCTGCTTTGAAATGTTTTTTATCTGCCAGATCAGTTAGTCTGCCACCCTAATCTCAGTCTCAAAACTCAGTCTAGAAAGTCTCAAAACATAAGCAAACTACAGACAAAATTTCTGCCACAGCATTAACATGCACGGTCTATAATACAACTACCAAATGAACCTCCCAACTTATTCCCATCTGAAACCTCCCAAGCCTGGCCTTTGCTGTCTGCATTCTTATCAGCATCTGGTCTTCTGAGTTCTGACCAGAATCACACATCAAGCACTACTCACAACATTCTAAGACAGTGGTTGTGAACCTATGGCATGCGTGCTGCAATGGACATGCAGAGCCCTCTCTGTTGGTGCATGAGCCAAGTCACCCCAATAGCTGAGGATTAGGTAAGAGGCGTTTTTTCTAAATTGAAACCTCAGTATTCATATTTAATTGCAGTGTTGTCACTTTGTGATAAATAAATGGGTTGTGGGTTGCAGTAGGGCATTCAGACTCCAAAAGGCTTGCCATCACTGTTCTAGAGCTTCTCTTATTTGCATCTCCAAACCTTTCCAAACTCCTCCTACAAACCAGTTCCAAAAGCATCTGAATCACATAGGTACAGTCAGAGTACTTACTCTACTCTTGGTACCAGTTTTCTGCTTTACTTATCTTGTTGCTGGGATAAAATACCCAACACCAACAACTTAAAAGGGGGAGAGGTTTGTTTTGGCTCAGTTTCAGTCCATAGTCAGTTGACTCCAAGGCAGAAGCAGCATGGTGAAATGGCTGCATACATTGTAGTGGCCAAGAAGCAGATGGAGAAAGGAGCCAGCAAGAATGCACCCTTCCAAGTCACACCCCCAGTGACCCATGCCCTCCAACCAGTCCCTACCTCCCAACACAAGACATTTAGAGGATATTTTAGATCTAAACCATAACACCCCCAATCCACTTGCTTGAGTGCATTTTCTTGATTATAGAAAGTACAAAAAATAAATGAATCTGAACACAATTTCTGATTTGTGATTCTTTAAACAACTCATATGAACTCCCCTAATAACTTCATACTATTGTAGTTAGCCATGATTTTTCTTTTCTTTTTTTTTTTTTTTTTTTTAAGGAATCCATTTTTTTTCTCCTTGAGTAACTGTTTCTTTAAAAAAAAACACCACTCAGCAACAGTTGTTTCATTCTTTGTCTTGCAGGTACTATAGTGCAACCATCCTGCAGATGTCTGGTGTGGAAGATGACAGACTCGCAATATGGCTGGCTTCAGTTACAGCTTTCACAAACTTCATTTTCACACTTGTGGGAGTGTGGCTTGTTGAGAAAGTGGGCCGCAGAAAGCTTACGTTTGGTAGTTTAGCAGGTAGGTACATGGATGAAGAATTCAGTTTAAAACTTTTTCCTAATGATGACAGTTGACTTTCCAGGACATATATACTTTCTACTGGTTTCTTAACCAAACAATATAAAATTAGTGTGATAGTGCAAAAATTTTTAATTAAAGAGTATGAACCTTACAAATTTATGATATGTGACTAGAAATTAGATTGTAAGTAGAAATGAATTGTAAGACAACATCTGGATCTAGTAAAGGATTTTTTTTTTTTTATTTGGAGTTTGCCTCAGAGGAACAAAAGTGAAAGGAATGATCTTATCTGTCTTTGAAAAACTTGCTATTAATTAACTCATTTTTTAACATGTTGTATTTTTAAGTGTGTTTAAACTTGGAATGATATGGAAACAAATTTGGAGCATTTTTTTTCAAATCCCTTCCAACAGAACCCTACAATTTTTTAACAAAATAAGGATGGTACTCTTGGTGTTTAAAACAGCCCTAAATTCTAGACTAAATTTTGATTGGTTAAGTGTTTTCTATGATAGTGAAATACAAAATCTTTCATGCTCTCAGGTATCTTTTGTGTTTATTTCATTTATTATTTCTCTAACATAAGGGCTATTTCACTTCGTAGACTACAACTTTTCTTTGACATTGGTCACATCTTATTTTTTTAAATTTTCCTACTTTTCAATTAGTTGTACTCTAATAGTGCCTTTGTAAATATATTTGGACTTAAAATACTCTTTCCTTTAAAATATAGTTTCCATGACAGCATTAACTAAATTCTATTTTAACCTAATTGTACCTAAAACAATGATGTGATAGTACTGTTACAGCACTTGTCCCAGATTTTGATAAGAAAATACATTCTGGGTTCCAAATTCAATTTACTGGGAATGCATACCTTCCTTTTAGATGTAGTGGAATTCTTCTACCTCCTGTTTTTGTCTGAGCAATGGAAGTCTGGTAACATGAGTTGAACTGAAGTTTTCACACTGAGACAAAGGTGAGAAATTGATTAAGGAACAATGGTGATTGCAGTGGCCAGGGTATACAGGGAATATGAGGGTAAGTGAAGAACGGTAGGGCAGAAGATAAGATTTAAAAACCATTCATCTATAAGCCTGGTGAAGAAAGCAAAGGTGAGTAGCCTGGAGGAAAAACTAAAGAGAAGCCTATTAGATGTAGCAGATAGTAGATGCTATGAGAACATAGACTTTTAGTTAATATAAGAAAAATATTCTAATTACCCAGAGCTATCCAGCAGTGAAGGGAGCAGTATCCTCAGGCAGATAAACAAAAGCATCAGCATGGATTGCCAAGAGTGCTGTGTTGCAAATATATTCCTGCAGTGTGTTAGAAATTGAATTTGCTGACCCCTTGGGTTCAGGTCAACACTATGAAGAGATAATAGCTGCTTTTAAATTTTTTAAATGGATATTTTTCCTTTTCAACATACATTACTACCTTAAGAGGACTATTTTTAAATAGAATTTAAGTGCCTAAATTTGGGATTTGTCTTTTGAGATTTGGGGAAAACTGCTGATTAAACTTTTTTTTTTTTTTTTTTTGAGCAGCCTGTGCCTCTGTCATAGTCCTTTCTTACCAGTTCTACAGAATTTTTGAGGCCTTATTGATATAGAACCAGATAGTCTTTGAGTCTGAACTGTGTGGCTTTGGGTAAAGTTCCATTTTCTGACCTATACATGGGGATTATCATCTCTGTACTGTTGTAGTGAGGATTTAACACATTTATGTATAGCATTTAAAATACTGCATGCCACAGACAGTAAAGTACTCAGAGCATTTAGCTAATACAGCATTATTATTGCTGAAGAGTGAGACTGTCATTTTAGCCACAGTGCAAAATCAGTCCTCCCTCATTGTAATCCAGGGACTCTCCTTAGCTTTTCTAGCCAACACCATGTTTCACCTCCCTGCTGTTTTGCTGAGAAGTCCAGTACCCTACCGCTGATTATTAACCGCTTAACAGTTCACCCTGAGCATCACTTGGGCAGTGCGTTTGTTTACACACTATCCCAAGCTTTGCTTAGGCAGATGTCATTTCAACCAGTCGATTCTTCTACTGAATAAATTTGATAAAATAGTTGGGGTTTTTTTGGCTTTAATTCACATTTATTTATTTATTTTTTTAATATATATATTTATTGGTACATTTTAGGAATAAAATATTTACATTTATCATTGGGTGTTTGTACCAGAACATGATGCATCTTAGTTTTTATTTTTTCTCCCATTACCTGTGCACCCTTCACCCCCTCCACCCTTCCCTATCTACACCGAGTTTGATTCCATTTTTTTTTTCTCATAATTTTTTTCTTTCCCTTCTTCCTTTTCCCCTTTCCCTTCTACCATCCCCAAACCCTTGGACCTTTTCTTATTTCAAATTATCAGTTATTCATTTGAATCATTTTTATCCTTATTATAGCTAAATGGATGCATATTGAGGCCATACTCTTAAGTGAAATAAACAGGACACGTGTAAATACCGAATAGTTTCTCTAGTGTGAGAAACTGAAAGTGTAAATAAGGATAAAATAGTTGTTTTTATATTTTCTGTTACATTATCTTACAAAAATGAATGAAAATTCAGTTTTTGGTCATCCTCTGTTGAAATAATTGGACTGGTAGGTGGTTAAGAAATACTAAGGCAACTGTGTAGAAGGGAAGACCAATGGATTTCATGGGCTGCTTCTCGTGAGCAGCCAGTAGGCTCTTTTTTTCCCCTGCCTTTATCTTCTCTTCAGCTAAATCCTCCTCCAGCCCAGATACTTTACAGTGATACCTCTCACTTGACAGATACAACCAATCAAGTACACACCTGATCTCCTTGTCATGCATCCAGCCGAAGTAATGGAGTAGATAATAGAGTGGTTTAGGAGGGTGAAGGCATGGCTTCTAATCACAGGTTTCCTCTTTTATCTGTACACATGACTGTAAAGAGTGGTATTTAATTTATGTAGTTCTTGTTTTTAATCATGATCCACTTGGTCCACAGGAAGACACTGACCAGTGGAAGTGTGAATCTTCAGAAGGAGCCTTAGCACTACACAGCCATGTTGGTTTGTTAGCATTTCTCTAGCATGGCCCTTGCAATAGATGAGGTTTTCATACTCCAACACCAGCTGATTCCATGCATTTTAAATTCACTGTATTTTTTGTTTTATTCATTTGTATATAGGTATGATGTAATATTCTAATAGTACTAAGTATTATAACATTGCCATTTAATTTTTTAATTAAAAATTTAAATTAAATATTAGAATTTTTAAACATTTGATTCAGTCATCTGTACTTGCGATTTATTATATTGGGTTAAAAAGGTGAAAGATCTTATGTCAAAATAAGTTTTCAATAGGTTTCCATCCTTTCAAAATTACATTACTACAAATAAACTATGTTTATTTGGATAAAGAAACTATGCAGAGAAAATAAAATATGTAATATATGAATTATTTTAAATGTGGGACCTTTTGTCATGTCCTCATTTTTAATATTTCACAGTTTGTTTAGAGAACTGGTCTTCTGTATAAATACTACAATTTTAGTAACTTCTTATTTCTGTAAATGATGAGGTTTATATCTGTGTAACTATATCGGTAATCTTAGCAAGAAACACCATGTCTTATTCCACTATATATTTTGATAGTATTTCTGAAAACACTACTTGTAGGCTGTCTACCTCAGAACTACCAAGGCAACTTACTTTAAGATGTGGATTCTTGGGCCTATCCCGAATCCACTAAACTTAGACTCTGAAGATGGAGTCTGGAGCATGTGCATTTAAACAGACTCCTCTGGTAATGCTTAGTCACACATTGTGAGAACTCAGGAAGGGAAAAAATTTTTTTTGAGTATTTTCTAAAAACCCAAGGCATGTACTAGATAATTAATAAAACATTATATCAAATATTTTTGGAGGTGGCATTAATCTAATAGACTTTACTTCCTGTGGAGAGTGTTTATTATAAAACTGTTATCAGAATTCCAAAATCTACCATTGTGCTTGGTTGAGACTCTGCTTGAAATGTAAAGAATGTTCCAAAACTGAGTAGTACACTGAAGAAGATCTTTTCATCCAAAGCTTTCTTATATTAAGACTCAAACCTAAGTTATAATAATTAATCATTTGGCATAATCACTTTAAATACTAACAAGTCATTGATAAAACATCTCTAACTTGTTAAATAAAAAGAAAAAGGTAACTCGGGTAGTTTTATGGTATGAGTGAATGAAAGGATTAGATGATCATTTTAAAAATTGTTCCATAAATAAAGTTACTTAGGGTACCATTCTTCTCTTTAAGGGATCCATTCTTTTGTAAGGGTTTTTGTATTGTCTGAACCTCATAATCACCTGTGAAAGTCTCTGAACCTGTGACATCTCATCCTTGTCTTCTGGAGACTCAGATTCAAGGTCAGGGTACATCCCAGGCAGAGCTTATATTTACCCACAACCTCTGATTCCTAGGGCATCTTAACTCCATTGTGGTGAATATGATGCATCTCAGCAGACACCTCAGCCATTACATGATATCACTGTTCCTGCACAGTGTTCCCCAAATTTCTTTTACTCTATTCTTTTTTTTTTTCATTAAGTTTATTGATACGTTTTAGATATACAGTACAGGCATATTCACCATTGGGATCTTGCACCTTTACATGATCTTGGTTCTTATTGTTTCCCAATTCCCCTGCCCTCCCTTCACCCCTTCCACCATTCCCTATTTATTCTTTTAGTAATACTTTTGGTCTTATCTTAAATTACCTCCCAGTTAAACCAAGAAAATCTTGATGAGTACATAAATGCTCTCCTAAATTCCATATATTAAACATATTGTCTCATTCTTATAAATTGTACAAATTAATGCAACCACTGCTCCTTTCTTCCTGGGGCACTGTTTTGTTTATCCTCACAATTCTGGACCAGTAATCAGAAATTTGAACACTTTCTTATTTACCATCAGGGTATATCAGGGACTCAAAGTTGGGCCTTTTGAGCAAAAGGCATATAATCATCCATCCTGTTCCTTCAAATCAAAGATAAATATTATATTCCAGATTACCAACAAAAAAGGAAAAAAAATGAATGCATGTGTTATAGCATCTCTGGTATCTAAAAGTCTTTTTTTTTTCTTCCAAAAATTGTGCTTTTAAAAAAATAAGAAACATTCTTTCCCCTGCTTTAGAAATAATCAGTTTGTTATTTTGAGTTTACTGATTTAGTGGCACTAGAGGAATTTTCTTGGCACCAAAAAGAGCACTTGTAAATCTGTTGCCTATTTTATGTTTCCTGACATGGTAGGCACTCAGTAGTATTTTTGGCTGTCCTTAGTGCTTTACTTTTTGAGGTTTTTTTTAGAATGTCATTACCAGTTTTTTCTTGGGGTAGCAATTGTATTTGCTTTGAATTTTATTCTCATTATATCAACTATTCTCTGATGTAAAACTTTTTTTTTTTTTAGGTACCACAGTAGCACTTATTATTCTTGCCTTGGGATTTCTGCTTTCAGCCCAGGTTTCCCCACCTGTCACTTTCAAACCAGTAGCTCCATCAGGCCAAAATGCTACTTGCACAAGATACAGGTGAGATATCACTACGTCATGTTTATCAACCTAATTCTGATGACTTTCTTTTTGGTGGGAGTGGTCTTAAAAATTTGGGAGGTAGCTTGCGAGGTCTCCAGGCTTATGTGTGAAAGGTGGTAGGGAGAACTGTCAGGAAGAGGAAAGCATCTTGAAACACATGAGACTAAGGAGTTTGGGAAGAGGTGAATTGTGAGAAACAATGTTGATAATGTTTCTCTGGAAATTAAAACTGGGAATTAATGTAAATCAAGAGTATAGTAAAACTGTTTTGGCTCATGTATGACTTGGTGCCATCTGTGATCCAGGTGAAGTAAATGGCTCCAATTATTGGTAATTAAATTTACAAAATGCATATATTCTCTGGATTTCCTAACAACTATTCTTTACTGAGTTTCATGGGTCCCTTTATTTAAATAGAAAAGAAAGGTTCTCCCACCCTACCTCATTCCCCGGTACTGTGACTGTTCCAGAGGATCAGGAGATGAAAAGTGAGTGGGAAAAAGCAAAGTTTTGCAATGGCAGCTGTAGGCTTAACAGCTTATTAAGTCCAGTGTGTGCATACTGGGTGATGACAGGCTGGGGAAGTGGGTGAAAGGACAGGTAGGCTGAAGGAGGCACAGGGGAACTATGGAAAAAGTGACTGAACCATTCAGTTAATATTTTTGGCAGCAGAATCTAACTTTTTTTTTTTTTTTTTACTGCTTTTAGCTGTCCAAAGGCTAGTAATTCCTATAATGTATGTGGGTAGAATAAGACCTAGTGTTAAAACAAAAGATTCTTTTATCTTCAAATAGATGCACACAACCCTCAAATCAGTGGACAAGTGATTTTTCAGGTTAGTCCCGTGGAAGTGGTTTGGGGTATAGCTCAGTGGTAGAGTGCATAGTTAGCTGTGTAAAGCCCTGTGTTCAATACCCAGGAACGTCCCCACCCCCAAAAACGTTTTATATGAAATGAAACATTACATTTCACACTAGCTGTACGTGGTATCTCTGTGGAGCTTCTAATTTAGCATTGTGGCAGCTTCTCATTACAACGATGTGGAAGATGTTATTATACCTTTCCAGTTGTAAATTGTCGTATTGACTTGCCTTTGGAAAATAAATTTAAATTGCCTCTTCTGTCTTACTAATATGTTTATCTGCTTATTTATTGGCTTACTGGTTTTATAGTCTTTTACCCTAAGAATATTTAAAGATGGTGTAATAACAGAAAGTAAATAGCATAAACTGTTTGGCAGTGATCTTTATTTAGATGTCCACCTCATTAGCTTCAAGAATGATAGAACTATTGGCAGAATTCTGCATCTTCTGCCTTTTTGTTCGATAGGTAGTTTCTGTATATATTTTTAACACAGTTACTTCTAACAATTAATTAAGAATTATTTCTGTTTGGCAACATAGAATATCTTCCAGATTTACTGTTTCATTTAAGGTTGGTGGTCAGGATAAGACTGGTATTGTCAGGTTGAGCAAAAGCGGAAAATAGTCATCCAGAGAGTATTAGAAAATGTTTTAGGAATTTCTGGTGAACAAATGACTATGTGGACTAGCATGAAATGTCTATAAATTTTTGACGACTGACATAATGAAATCATTTTTCTGACATTAACTTTTAGAGTTGAAATAAATATACTTATTACCTAAGTATAGCTCATTGTACAGCAATTTATGATCATCTGTTTATCCTTCTGATTCTTCTAAGTTATCATCTATCTAAAATTTCAATATAAAATTATGAATTGAGTGAAGTGATACAGCCTAGTTTTATTCTTATAACAAAATAGGTAGCCATTTTTAAAAACACAAACAATTTTAGATGTCCTTCTAGGAGTAAGTGGTATGACAGACATTTACTATGTGCCTTCTTTCAGAGTCTCATATGAGGTTTTTAAAGAATTTGATAGTATACATTTATAGTCTGAGTAATTTTATAAAATATGACTGGAGTCCTCTTACTGATTTTGGTTTTTTTACTTATTTTTTTTAATTTTGGGAGGTTTGTTTTTGCTTTGGGGTGTGTTTTTGCTTTTGGGGTGTTGTGTGTGTGTGTGTTTGTGTGTTTTGAGACAGGGTCTCACTGTGTAGTTCAGGTTGGCCTTGAACTCACTGTGTAGCTCAGGCTCTTGAACTCAAGGCAATCCTCCTGTTTCAGCCTCCCAAGTGCTGAGATTACAGGGCTGCACCTGGCACTGATTTTGTTTTTGAAACTGTCTATATACTTTTCTACAATTTAAGGCAAACATGAAAATCTTACATAGTACCTTAAGATGAAGAGTGTCCATGTTGTAAATGTAGGTAATGTGCTTTCCCCAAGGAATGAGACATAATAGAGGAATTAGTTTAAAATGAAGACCCAGAGCCTTCCCATAGAGCTACAACCCCAGGTCTTTTTTAAATTTTGAGACAGGTTCTCATTAGGTTGCTAAGCTCTATAGTGATGAGTATCTAATGTGTTCTAACTGAAGTAAAGGACTTAAGAAACTGAATGGTTCAAGAAGTTGTTCTTCATTTGAATTCAATAAATATTAGTTATATAAAAGGCACTACTGTAGATTAAGGTCAAAAATATTGTAGGTTGGGGTTAACTAATGACTTTTGTCTCAAGAAATTGACTATCCTTTTTTTTTTTTTTGGTACCAGGGATCGAACTCAGGACCTTGCACTTGTGAGGCAGGCACCGGAACCACTGAGCTAAATCCCCAGCCCGACTATCCTAAATAATTTCCAATGGGAACTTCCCCTACTTAGAATATTTTTTAAATGATACTACTTTACTCCAAGTCTTGGTTAAATTCTATGAACTGAACATATTAAAGGACCTCTTTCAGAATTGCATTTTAGGAGATCAAAATATAAAGATGCATATAAGTTGATATAATGTGCCAGTGCCTCTATAAAACCCATCATAGTGTGTCAGTTGATGTTAGAAGAAATACGTCTTTTTGGGGTATCTTCTGAATCCTATATCTCCGAGAGTATATCTGTTATACACCTGAAATGGCCTCCAGCTGCGCAGCACACTCTCAGATTACTGATGTTGTCTCCCTTTCATATTCATCATACTTTCCTCTGAGAGCTATCCAAATTTTGAGGAATCATACCTTTCTTAGGTATCACTTCTGTCAATACTTGATATTTTTTACAGTTATGACCTCAGTATATGCAAATCACTATCATGAAATCCTTAAACATAGACAGATATTTCCTAAAGTATACAGTTACAGAATTTCAAGGTACTTTGCCCTGGGCTCTTTGTCTTACTCCTTTAAAAATATTTATGGAGCACTACTTAAGGATGAATTAATATGTGGAAAATACCTAAAATGATGCTTACACATAAGTCCTCAATAAACGTGATAGCCCTTGCTGTAATTAATAAGTGAGGTAGGATTCAGAGAAGACCCACCTGAGCAAAGGGTATTGGAAATGAGCCCTGGAAGGGTAAATGGAGCATGCCAGGCAGAAGGAACAGAAGTTTGAAGGACTTTCAAAGCAGCAGGCAGCTTGGCAAATGCAGAGAGATGAAAGCAGGCTAATGAGATTGGAGAAGAGGAAGATTAGGTTAAGATAGGTCAGAGCCAGCTTCTGCCAAGCCTCGAGGATTTTTGATTTTCAGTCCAAGAATATGAACCCTTGAGGGATTTTAACCGGAGGAGCAACTAGCCCAATTTTTCTATTCTAAACTGTCTCTCTGGCCACGTGGGTCAGAAGGCCTGAGTTCAGGTAGAGGATTACTGTGAGGGAGATAGCACTTGCCTGGACTGTTGTGATGATTTCAGAGATGGACAAATCCTCAATATATTTGGGAGAGAAAAATCAGCAAGAATTAAAAATTAGTAACTTATTAGCTATGGAAGGAGGCTCTGGACAATTCTCAATTCCTATATGAGGAAACAGGTAGAGGAGAGCATGGAAATGAAATGGGGTGAGTGGATGAGGCAAGGAAGAACATGGGTATAATTTTGGACGTGTTAAATCTTAAGTGTCCTTGAGGTATCTTTAGTGGGGTCATTGACTAGTTATTGAGAATACTGGCCTATAATTGAAGGAGAGTTTTGGGCTAGAGAATGATTATGCATACATGACAATTAAAGACATGGACATGTGTGACATCTGGCTTATAACTAAGATCTTCACTGAGACCCTGGCTACCTTTGCAGTTCTACCAGTAGTTCATTGGTGGAATGGAATTATTTATGCTTTTCCCCCCACAAAGAACAATGGGCTATTCATAGTGGCAGGCATTTATTATAACCTAACTTAAGCTTTTATGCTTACTTTTAAGGAAATAGAAGTCCACATAAGCCATGTTCTTTTTCTAGGGCACACTGACTGCTAATTTTTTAGACTTCTCTTGTTGAGACCCCAAACGGGCCATCATTTTTTAGCTCACACAGTTCTCAAGGACTCGTGTTAGGATAAACGTAATGACACAAAGGCTTCTCTTTTCCATTCCTTTTAGTTTAGACCCTGTTCTCGTCTTGGTCATAGAGATAGTTTTATTAGTTAAAATAACTTTAGCAGTTGGGTAGTTTGCTAATTTAATACTGGCTGGCACATTATCTACTCCTCACAGCTCTTAATATATTTTAGACCCTATTTGAATAGAAATTGAACCATTCCTCTAACTCAGTTTTTGTTTTTTTGCAGATGCCAACTTCCTTTCATTCCTAGTTTTTCTTTATTGAACATTGCTAAACCAAGAATACAGAGATGTTCAAAGTGGTTGTTTTTCTAAACAGTGATACTTTCATGTTTTCCTGTGTATAGAAAGATCCTAAACATCTAATTGACAAACTGGCTTCATCTGTAACCCTTTCTATGATGGTGACACTAGTTTTGGAAAACAATATGTCCCCTGCAAAGTTCATTTACAAAATAGTAATAATAGGGCCAGGGATTTAGCTCAGTGGTTCCGCCGCCTGCCTTGCAAGCACAAAGACCCAAGTTCGATCCCCAGTACCAAAAACCAAAAAAAAAAAGTAACAATAACTT